AAACTGTTATTCTCCAGTCATGAAGTTCTTGCCTTTTTGGAAAATGTGTTAATTATTTGGTCAATAATTGCATTAAAGGTCTCTTGCTATTAGCACCTTGACAAAGGTGAATAAAGCCAGCTGGAGCAAAACCATCTTCTCAGACAGGACAACATTCAAGATTGTTAAATGGTTGACAATTTAAAAAAAAATGTATCACTTTTGGTAGTAACCAAATAGACATCTTACCAACTTAATTTTTTAAAAGTGAAGTACACCCATGAGCAGTAATATATCTCAGATACATAACAGTAACCCATCTGGGTTAAAAGTTCCTCTGACTTGCTCACAGTAGAAAAGCATCTTGTAAACAACAACAACAAAAAAAAAGAAGGAAAAAGAAAAGCTTTTTGTCTAACCTCTAGGCTTGGAAAGTTGCCCATAAAGTGTGGTATGAAATAAATAGTAGTACACTGAGGCTAAAATCTGGAGGTCTGTTTGTTCAGGGTACCCAGAAAATTGTGGGAGACAGATGAAAAACTTTAGGGAGAGAGGGTGTTAGCATTTTCCTGTGTTTGTTCTATTTCTTTAAGGATACAGTCATTAAGAATCCACCAAAAAGAAACATAAATACAAAGTCTGCCGTCCGACCTCGGAAAGAGCCTTCTTCTAGCATTCGACAGTAACGATATCTTAGGATCCAAGTTAAGAAAATGTTTAGCACACAAATATGAAGAAAGTAAAACTTAACATCATGTAGGTACACTTGGACTCCATTTATTTCTAAGTCAAGCCTTTTTTCTGGATACACATGCTTCCAGTCACCTATTAAACCTTTTAAAATTTGTATCATCTTTTCCATGTTCAGCCACACAATCTGCATTACTCTTTTTCACAACCTAACTTAGAAGAAATCCCTAAATTCTTGGGGGAAGAAATCCCTCAAGAAGCCTTGTGTGAAAATCTAGTTCTTCAGGCAGGTTGATTAGGCATTTCTATCCCTCAGTCAATGAAATTGCATCACGATAAAAAAAACTTTAATTATCAGAAATTTACCAGAATAATATAGTATTTAGGAGACACAGGAATCCATCCTAGGGCAGGAATCCTGTCACCCCTGCATGGTTCTCTGTCTGCTGCAGATAAAGTGAGTTGTAACTGCCCTTTCCAGAGGGTCAGAGGAGAAAGCTCAGTAGCCCCAACTACCATGTGACCAGAGCACGACTCTTCCTGTCTTTCAATAAACTGGAACATGGCAAGCCTGGAAGACATTATGGCACTGTATTTTCAGCCAGTAGAACAAGTAACTAAGATACAGGATCTCAAATTTCCATTCCTTATGAACGCACTCTCAGACCTCTATCAAAACTCTGTTAACTATCAAAACAAACAGAAAAACCAAAAAACTATGTTAATTATCACGGTATCTGCTGATGTTATAACTATGAATCAGTTAAATCATTCAACTCACTTGATCAGGTTTGCAAGTGACTTATGGGGTGAAATATAATCATTTTATGGTTACGTACCTGCCCTCTGAACCAACAGTGACTTACAAACACCATCAAAACAACACTATCTGACCAACTACTCTGTGTCCCACTGACCCAGTACCTAGAAGTTACAGCTAAGACGGTAACAAAAATGACAGGATTAATAGTTTCAACTCAATATTGTATTTCCTAAGTAAACCTAAAGTTTTTACGCTAACCCCACTTAGTAAAGGATACAGAAAAATCATGTTAAATAAAAAATTGAATCCAACTGGTCCGAAAAATAAGAAATTGGTGATTAGCCTCCATATCTGTTGAAAGAAAAAAAAAATCAAGAGCTAGATTAAAATATACTAGGAACATTTCCATATTAAAATGAAAGATATCCTCTGACTACAATGGTTGGGACTCCATGGATATGTCACACTGTCCATGGATATCTGAACTAAAGAGTGGAGCACAGAATTTGACGCTGGATTTTTGTGCTGCTTCTTGTTGAAAATCTGAATGATGACACTCAGCCCCTGAAATTTTAAGGACAATAGGACAGAAAACTTAAAATTGTGATTGTATTTAACATGGTCAGCCAAATCATGGAAAAAGTTTGATGAAAAGACAAGGTTAATTTGCATAATAAAAAACACTGCTTTCACTTTGTAGTACTGCAATCTAATGATCAGTCTTGAGAAATCAGAAAAAACCCCAGGGATCTAATATAAATTGCTAAAAAAAAAAAAAAAAAAGTCTCTATATTAGGCAGTCCAAAACATCCAGAGTGAAGAGTAATTATAAAGCAAATGCTCAAGTTCCAGTCTGAATAGACAAATGCCTATAAGACCTAACACTCTAATAATTAAATTCTATAGTTGATAGATACAAGGACACTTATTTTTTCTTGTTGGGAACCCTGACATACTCTTCCCTACCCAACCCACTGACACACAATAAAAACAACTTCTCACAATGGTAGAGCATTTAACATTTTAAAGTGTTTTAACAGATTCTATTATCTCAGGTAATCTTAATCCTGTTACTGCCACCCCCAATGCACAAATAAGAAAACTAAGAGTCTTAAATACTCTCAAAATGACTTGCCCAAAGGGCAAATTGTAAAGGAGACTGAAGTCAAGACCTGGAACTCCTAACTCCTAATGCAGATACATAGTATCAAGGGTTTTAACCCCAGGCAAAATCAAACCAAGCCAAGTACTAACTAGGAAGCAATGCTTGGATGGAGCTATACAGCCCCCAGCAAAGGCCATGTTACTATCAAAGGAAGAAGACAGTGACAAGAATCCACAGGACTGCTTTATGCATCATTAAATTCTTAAGAATTCATATTTATTAAAATTGAAATAATTCAGTTATATATACTAACTACATAAAGGATTTTAGAGTCCTCATCCTAGTGAAGAGGCAAGCATAAAATAAGTCCAAATATGAGATGAGAGGTGCTCTAAAAGAAGCATTTATAGATACCCTAGGGACACCAAGGAGAATGAGTCTGAGGTTACACAAAAGCAGTGTCTTCATAAGCAAGCTGGAGATCAAATGAGTATAATGTGAATGAAACACATTTGAAACAGGGAATAGAATGTGTAGAGGCAGAATTACTAGTTTTTGGGTCTCTCCAACTATAGCCTATAAAAACATCCTGGAGCAGAAAAATACATCTCAAAGCTGTAATAGATTTGAGGTGCTCCTCTTGGGACCAGGCCTGTGCCTTCCTTCTTCCTCTCAGGAAGTCACCTTTGTCTTTCTCCTAAGCTCCGAGGGCTCTTCCTTTGCCTCTGTAACTTGTTTCCTAAGCCCACACAGCACAGCTGGCTCACCTGTACTACCTCTGTAACTTTCTAAAGGCTGGGCAGTCTCCTGTCAAACACAATATTAACTTTAACTAGTGATTCCTAAATATAGGAAATGGACACATCAAATCAAAACCATTCAGGGAACTTAAATACACACACACACACACACACACACACACACAGATTCTTACTTCGTACCCTTTGTGATCCTGATTTGGTACATGATAAGGAACTTGAGAATCTCTTAAACATTCCCTAGGTGATTCTGAAGCCCAATTAGGCTGCAGAATCACTGCTTTATACATCTCACTATAAGACTTACAGTCAAATATTCCCACTGAATTCTTTTTTGAGGGAGTATGTGGCAGGATTTACTACTAAAAAGAAAAACAAGTTAAAAACTGGAACAATCATGGTTGTGATGGACCACTTACTTGGAAGTGTTTAAAGATTAACTCAGGATTGAAGTACAGCTGAAAAGGTGTAATCAATTCCAACTGCTGAAATAGAAAAAGAGCTCCTTAAAGCAAATCCCTCTTAAGATATAGGGCAAGTAAAGAGCAGCTGCTATGAATCTGCCCATCACATGGGCACCATCTGAAACAGTTGGGTGAAGCAATACAACACCCTCAAAAGAACGGAGATTCAAGAGCCTGCCACCGTCAGGGCAGGATGCTTCCAAACAACCCCTATAGCCACACTCCTTATTTCAAGACTCTTCCCTCTCACCAACTTCCAGATTTCTGTCCTCGATATCTAACTTTCTTCATAAGCGGACTTCCCCACCACCCTATCCCACTAGTCACCGAGGTACCAGTTGGACATTGCCAGAGTTCTCAGGCACGTTTTCTGGATGTGCGGCTCCCGCTGCCTTGACTTGCTACAGGTGTGGCCTTCATCTTTCCGAAACTGACCTGCAGTCCTGAACCTCCACCCCTTCTGCAGTAGCACTCGCTTACCGAGTTCCTTATCGGGTGTCAAAGCAATTACGAATCCCGAAGCGAGCCTTGTCCGCCTCCACCCACCCCTGAGACTAGCCCATCTGGGGTTCCCTGAGGCCCAAACCCCAGTTTCCTGAGAACCGATCACATCCAGGCCGGATAATGAGAAGGTGGCGCTGCAGCTGCTCACCACTGCGGCGGTGGTGAGTACGCAGGCGGTGGTATAGGCGCGGCTAACCGGTGGGATCTGCAGGTACTCTAGTCTGAGGCTCTGGTACGCCATCTTCCCCTCCGCCACCTGCCCTCCACCCCACTTCCCCTTCCGCCAGTCGAGCAAGCAGCGAGGCGGGATCAAAGAGGCCTCCCATTGCCCTGCCCACTATTGTCCAATCGGTGCCGCGCCACCTGCCAACCACCAATCGTAAGAGGCCTAAAAAAAAGCCATTCACCAATCATGAGTTGCGTCTCCGCGGAGCAGCAGCTTTGTTCCCTCACCCACTCACATCACAAAGAAGAGAGTTGGTACAGATTCTTTTCGCCAATCCGCGAGGGCCACAGCTAGCTCGCGCGCCGTCCAGTCGGCCAATCAGAAGCGGGAAGGCGTCCCGCCTTTGCTGTCATTCGCTGATGCTAGCGTCGGCCGTAATTTTGGGGAGCGACCAGCGCCGCCGATATCCGGCAGCCAGAAGCGGTTTAAAGGAGGTGGCGGGAAGCCACTGTTTGATCGAACTTGTCCCGTTCACGGTCGCTTCGGTAAGTGCTGCGGGGCTGCAATTTCTCAGAGGCAGAGAGAGAAGCAGTGGAACTGGGTTAGGCATCATCGTCCGGCGCTGGAGCATCTTCGCTGGCGGGGCCTGCGACCTGAAGGTCCCGGCATGCAGCGGGGTTGCGGGGGCTGTCGGGAGCCAGTTCTCCGGCCGGAAGCAGGTCCTGTCTGGCGCTTTCTGTTGCTCTGTCAACTCAAATCCTTGAGGTATCCTGGACATTTCCAGTGTTTATTCTGCAAATATTGATTAAGCCGTCTTCGCACTGCCCGTAGGAACTCGAGAGCTAGCAGAAAAGGTGAGACGGGCTCGTGGTAATATCCTGAGGTAGAACTCGGGTCAGTGCCCGAAGAAAGGCCCTGATGGGGTTCAGAGGAGGGGTGCGTCACCAAGGAAGTGTATTTAAACTAACCCTTGAAGAATATTTGGCCACGGTATCTTTCCTTGAGGGAAAGACATCACAGGAAAAGAAAATAGTTTGGGGGGCCCTGGCTGGCCTAGCTCAGTGGGTTGAGCGCGGGCCTGCGAACCAGAATATCGCGGTTCGATTCCCAGTCAGGGGACATGCCTGGGTTGCAGGCCGGTTCCCAGCAGGGGACGCATGAGAGGCAACCACACATTGATATTTCTCTCCCACTCTTTCTCCCTCCCTTCCCCTCTATCGAAAAATAAATAAATAAAATTAAAAAAAAAAGAAAATAGTTTGGTTTGGTTGGAACAAAGAGTAGTTAGAACTTGTCAGACAATAAGGAAGCGCTAAAGGTTTTTGGAATGGAGAGTGACAATTTAATCTGGTAATATATAAGAAAGGGACCAAGTAAAAGGGTGGAGAGAGTGGTATTTAAAAAGGATGTGAATGGGTAATTCCCAGGAGAAATCTGAAAAGCTAGCATGTATGAAGTGAGTGGTAGCCGGTTTTACTGGTAGTAACAGAAATGTACTTAAAAATATTTTTGCCTGCTCCCCAAATATCACCACCACAACCTGTTGATAAAACAATGCAGTATTTACTGCTTAGCTCTGGTAAGAGAGAAGAGTGGACCTTGAAAGAGCTTTGGTGTGAGTCATACGAAAGAAAGGCATGATTGGAATTTTTTGAGAATTCCAAGTTTGGTTTATGGTGGATTTTCAATTTGGAAGCTTGATTAGTATTGGGTAGGGGTCTAGAAATAACAGTCCAGGATTGGTAGAAACAGCTGAGGCAAGGGCTTCAGAGAATTTTAGGGTACAAATTGTCGATGCTTCTCATTGAAGATGCTTCCCATCTTTGGTGCAATTCAAGCCATTAGAACAGTGAAAATATACTGGTCTCTCAGAATAGTAATGTTATGCTAATGTAAAGAGTAAGTTTTTATCAGAGTGGGGGAACGTAGGTAGTTTCAGTCCTCATTATCCAACCTGTGTGGGACTAGATGGTTTTGTTTTTCAAAAAACGACATTGTGAAACAATTTTATATCTACCAGATTGGTAAAACTATAATGTTAGATAAGTGTTGGCGAAGATATGAGAAATTCTCATATACTGCAAATGGCAGTGTAAACCTGTGTAGGATCCCCCCTCCCACAGTGTTCTGGAGAATATTTTGGCAATATTTAGTGAAATTATAAGTGAATTCCATGGCTAGCAATTACTTGCCTTTGTAAATACCCTGCAAGTCCCTAAGGAAACAACATAGGGGGGTGTTTATTACAGCATCATTTCTGGTAGTAAGGTGCTGAAGCAAACTAGGTGTCCCAAGAAGAATGGACATTAAGTGTGGTATATGCATGTGATAATATTGTTGGAATACTTCAGTCAGAACCAATGAAGTAAACTTGTATAATAACATGAAGAGATTGCAAATGTAAAGAAAAATGTAAACATACATATACAGAACTGTATTTCTCAAGAATATAAATCTAAAAACTAAAGTTAAAGATGAATCAAAAAGCATACATCAAAAACATTACCCTGGCCGGGTACTCAGTTTGGTGTTATCCCATTATACCAAGGTTGCAGGTTTGATCCCCACTTAGGGCACATATAAGAATCATCCAGTGAATGCAAAAATAAGTGGAACAACAAGTAAATCTATTTTTCCCTCTCTCTCAAATAACTTAAAAAAAAAGACATTCGAGTAGGTTCCTGTGGGAGATGAAAGGTGGAAGAATAAAAAAGTAAGAGGACTTAGCATGAACTAAAAATAGAGTGCCATGAAATAGGAAGTATTATCAGCTCAATTATGCACATGTGAGGTTCTTAAGGACAGAGTGGTTAATAAGGGTTGGATGATGAAGTTCCTTGTAAGCAATGTTGAAAGAGTTTGATCTTGATCCTGAAGGCATAGGGCAGTGCTAAGGAAATAAAAATCCTGCCAACCCAGAGAATCCTTTCCACAGACATAGAGAAGAAAGTTGTTTCATTACCGAATAGTCTTATCCAGATTATAACATAGTGTAGATAATTTGAGTGAGGGTGAAATTTCTTTGTCTGTAATCTATGTAGCCAAGCAATTACAGCCATTCCATTTTTAGCCATTACATAATTTCTCAAGATTACCTGCATCTTGTCTTCCCATGAGATTTGATCATACCATTTGCTTCAAATTCTTTCATAAAATTCATCCTAAAATCACCTGGTATTTGAGGTAGCCATTTATTTTAGCTAATTGCCTTTATCTGAAGGAATAGTGAGACTCTATTCTATAGCAAGTATATGATTATAGCTCAGAAAAGGTACATAGGTTAAATTCCTACAGTGACAAGGAGATATTTTCCTAGGTATTTACATTCTAAAGTAATGACTTATATACCCTTGAAAAAACATGTTGGGATTGTAGAGCTCATAAGAGGCTTCCAACTGGGATTTTCCCCCCTATGGCTAGATTGGAAGGACAAGGAGTTGAAGACATTGCCCAGGGAGTGTTTGAAGTGACGGATGGTGAATCTTAAAATGGATAGGGAAGAAGTGAAATGGGATAGACTGAATACAAGGAAGAGAGGATCAGAGTGCTAAAAGTCTTGATGGTTAAGGTATAGTATAAGTGCGTGATTAAGGTATAATATGAGTTGGAAGAATAACATAGGAAGTTGTGGACAAAAAAAGTAGGGCAGCAGTGCCCTGGCTGGTGTGGCTCAGTGGATTGAATGCTGGCCTGAGAACTGAAAGATCACCTATTCAATTCCCAGTCATGGCACATGCCTGGGTTGTGGGCCAGGCCCCTAGTTGGGGGCATGTGAGAGGCAATCGATTGATGTATCTCTTGCACATAATGTTTCTCTCCCTCTCTTTCTCCCTCCCTTCCCCTCTCTTTAAAAATAAGTAAATAAAATCTTTAAAAAATAGTGCAGTTGGGGAGAGAAGTTACAAATATCAAAAGGCAGGTGGCTGAAAGAGTGAAGCCATTGAAACTAATGAAACCAAGTCTCTAGGGCAGTGATTAGATTATGTCTAAATCTGAACATTGTCTGGGGTGATGAACAGACTTCAGAATACTGAGCCACAGGCCAGAATCCTCAAAAATGAGAGGTAAGGGAAATGAGGGAGTAAGGGAGGTGATAGGCTGATGGAAAGAACCTCAGAGACTGCATCTTACTTTGAGTGAGTGAGGCTGGAATTGGCATGGGTATCAAGAAACAAAAGCTTTTCTATCTGTAATGGGATTTGTTACTTTTCTCAGATGATTTTTTTATCATGTTTTTTTTTTTTATGTTTACAGATTTTTCACAATTAAATTTAACATACCAGAATAAGCCAAGATGTCTGTTGATCCAATGACCTATGAAGCCCAGTTCTTTGGCTTTACACCACAAACTTGCATGCTCAGGATCTACATTGCATTTCAAGACTACCTATTTGAAGTGATGCAGGCTGTTGAACAGGTTATTCTGAAGAAGCTGGATGGCATCCCAAACTGTGAGATTACCCCAGTCCAGATTCGTAAATGCACAGAGAAATTTCTCTGCTTCATGAAAGGACGTTTTGATAACCTTTTTGTGAAAATGGAGCAGCTGTTTTTACAGTGGATTTTGCGTATTCCCCCAAACATCTTGCTTCCAGAAGATAAATCTCAGGAGAGTCATTCTTATAGTGAAGAAGAATTCCAGCTTCTCCAAAAAGAAATCGAACAGTTGCAGGAGAAGTATAAAACTGAATTATGCACTAAGCAGGCCCTTCTTGCAGAATTAGAAGAGCAAAAACTTGTTCAGGCCAAACTTAGACAGACATTGACTTTGTTTGATGAGCTTCAAAATGTTGGTAGAAATCATGGGACTAGTGATTTTAGGGACAGCTTTGTGTTCCTGGTCCAGAACTCCAGAAAACTCCAGAGTATTAGAGACAATGTGGAAAAGGAAAGCAAAAGACTGAAAATATCTTAATTTCTAAATAGTAAAAAGAGCCAGTCAAATGTAGAATGAGTAAGGGATTTATATCAACTATTCTTATTTTACTGTACTGTATATTTTGTTGGATTCTGTTTGTTTACTCTTCCTTGTATTCCACATTTTCCTCTCTTTTGGTCCCCTCTCCTGACCTATCTACGAACAAATCTTTGAAGCATTTATTTCTTACAGTCCTCTAATAGGTAGGAAGGGATTCTTGATCTATTAAAAATTCATTTGGGGGTGTGATGAAGAAATAAAGCTTTCCATGGCCAAAGATATTTGTAAAAGTTGTACCTTGGTCATGAGTCCTTTTTAACCTTGCTTTTAACCTTGCTCCTTTTTACTTATTATTTAGATGAGTCCAAGTGATAAAAAGGTTGAGTGAGTGGCTCCTTTACTAGTCAGCTACTACATTGTGGGACAGCCAACATAGAATGTTTACTTTTGCCCTATAATTTTTCTTACGTGAGAAGGTTGATAACTAGTTGAAAGAAGTAAGTAGCGGAGAAAACAACCACAATCTTCAGTAAAGAAGAAAGTTGTTTTCAACAAATAAATCCTTTCCATGACCAAGGCCTTGATGATGTTAAACAATTTACTATATTGGAGCCCAGCAGCGGAAGATCTTGGACAAAAAAGAAGCAGATCTCACTGGAATAGAAAAGGAACCCTGGAACATACCCAATAGCAAAGTTTATGTTAACTGACTGTTAGGTATTTATGCCATTTTTTCATATTCCAGATAGTTTTGGAATTTTCCTTGTACCTAATATTTAATTAACTTATGTATTCTCACTGATAAGCATTTAATATTTTGTACCTTCAGTGGGAATTTTTAGCTATGTCTTTTGCTTAAATTCCATGGAGTCTGATATTTCCTTTTGTAATTAATTCATTTAACATGTTAGGTCACCCAAGGAAAGAGACAATTTGGCCATACTCTAAAGGCATTGCTTGCCCTCCATGTCTTCCTAAACAATAGGATTTGGAGTTTTTCCTTTATGTAGAAGAGTAATCTAGGGTATTAATATTTGCGATTAAATAGTCATAGATTTAGGAAGTCTGTGTTTACCTTGATGTATTTATTATCAAAGTTCTTTTTCTAATCCTGCACATGAAATATATATGTTTTTAAAGGTTTTGGTTTTTTATTTTTCTGCTGTCTGTAATGTCATGGCATGTTTTTTTTTTTTTTTTAAAGATTTTATTTATTTTTAGACAGAGAGGAAGAAAGGAAGAGAGAGGGAGAGAAACCTCAATGTGTGGTTGCCTCCTGCGCACCCCACACTGGGGACCCCGCCCAGAATCCAGGCATGTGCCCTGCTCTGGGAATCGAACCGGCAACCCCCTGGCTCTCAGGCCAGTGCTCAGTCCACTGAGTCACCCCAGCCAGGGCGTCATGGCATGTTTTTTTCAATATTTTTATCCAAATGAAATTAAATTTTTTTCATTTTTTCCTTTTACATCTGTAGGTTATTTAAAATCCCCTAGTATAGAGGTTTAAATGGTGATTTCCCAGAAGGTTTGTCCATGTATGTTATGATTCCTGGAAACTATGACTGTTCCTTATTTGGAAAAACGATGTTTTCGGGTTTAATTAAGTTAAGAATCTGGAGATGAGATCAGTCTGAATTATGTGGGGAGGGGGGTGGCAAAATCCATTGTTAAGTGTTTTTTATAAGAGAAAGGCAGAGAGATTTGAGATGGAGGAGGAGGCATTGTGACCACAGAGGCAGATTGAAGTGATGCAGCCAGAAGTTCAGGAATGGCAACAGCCACCATAAGCTGGAAGAGGCAAAGGGCAGATTCTCTCCTAGCACCTGCAGCAGGACCCCAGAATAAGGGCCCTAGACACCCTTATTTTGAATTTCTGGCCTGCAGAACTAAGGATACATTTCTGTTGTTTTAAGTCACTAAGTTCGTTATGATAGCAACAAAAAACTAATGTACTTAGTAAAATTAGAACATTAAGATATTAAAAAGGATGTAAGCTGTTATTAAGGAAATGACAGCTGAGGCCTGATTGGCCCCATTATATATGCAATAATATGGCTTGTCTGAATACAGTTAAAATATGAAGAAGACTTGGATAGAAGGGTGAAGTCCTCAGTGATTAGAACTCAGGAGTCCATTTCATGTTTAGTAAATGCTTAATAATTGTTGGATATTAATATCATTTGTCATAGTAATATCTCTAGGAACAAGTTAGTCTGCTTGGCCTCATTGTCCTCTAATAGTTAAATTCCTCTCTCAGAAATTCAGAAATCAGAATAATAAACACTTGGTTACCTACTCTGCTCCATTGCTTTATTTTCCATCTAGCATCAATTTCACCCAGTTTCCTGCTTCTCACTACATTAGATCATATGATTTTGTAATAGCAAATCTGCTCCCAAGCTTTCCCTTGCATTTATCTGTTTACTTTCCCATAAAACATCATGCGTGTTCCCCAATGTGTACCCTCAAACAGACTTCTCATCCTATGGCTGCAGTGGCGGCCATTTTGGGAGATTGTTTGGCATTAATAAAAAGTGGCCAGTACTACCAACCTTACAAAAGTAGGAAAAATTGTAAGGACATACTATGTAACAGGTTCTGCATTCAGTTATGATGGGGACTTTCCCTATTACACAAAGCAGTTTTTAGGCACCACCTGGGTGTCCTAGAATTCCACTCAATTTGATATCTGCTCAGAGATAGCATCAGATTCCTATCTGATGGGCTGTGAATCAGGTTAAGGGCTCAGCCCCACAAAGACTACCCTTCAAATTTCAGTCACAAGCCCAGGTGCTTCTGACTCATGGGCTGTGAATCAGAGATTCCATTGAACCCCTCCTTGGATTTAACTAATTTACTAGAGTTGCTCACAGAAGTCAAGGAAACTTTACTCCCTGGATTACCAGTTTATTGCAAAGGGTATATAAGTGAAGAGAGCCACAGGACAAGGTCCCCAAAACAGGATCTTTTATCCCCATGGAGTTCAGGCATGGTGGATGTGTTCAGGTTACCCAATCTGGAAGCTTTCTAAGCTGTCTTTCTAGGTTTTTATGGAGACTTCATTTCATAAATCATTGACCACTGGTGATTGAAGTTCGACCTCTATCTAATACCATGTATAAAAGTAAACTCAAAATGAATCAAAGACCTATGTATAAGCTAAAATTATAAAATTCCAAGAAGAAAACATAGGCATAAATCCTTATAATCTTGAATAAGGCAATAATTTTTTTAGAGGTGACATCAAAAGCAAGAAATGAAAGGAAAAAGAAATGTGTGTGTATGTACGTACATATATACTTATATATATAACAATCAAAATGTAAAACTTTTGTACTTCAGCCACCATCATGAAAGTTAAAAGACAACCAATGTCACTCCAATAGATTGAACAAAAAAAAGTTAAAACATTCCTCATGGTGAGGAAAAACATCCCTGTGAGTTTTATTACATTTACTGACACAATTTATCTAATCCCCCAAAACTCTTGGGGACAAATCATGTGTTTTCAGACAATGAAGTCTCATTTATTTTCATTAAAAAAAAAAAAGCCCTGGCTGGTGTGGCTCAGTGGACTGAATGCCAGCCTGCAAACCAAAAGTTTGCTGGTTTGATTCCTAGTCGGCACATTCCTGGGTAACAGGCCAGGTCCCTAGTTGGGGGCCTGGGAGTGGTAACCAATCAATGTATCTCTGATACATCAAAGTTTATATCCCTCTCTCTCTAAAAATAAATAAAATCTTTAAAAGAAAGAGTGAAAATCAACAATAGGAAAAAGTGTTTACAAATACCTAATAATGGACTTGTACTTAAGATATTTAAAGAACTCAGAATTCAAGAAAAGCAACCCTTCTTTCATAGTTCTAAGTAACATAATTCCTCCTCTTTTAGTAGCATGTTTGCTTTATAAAGGTAAATGAAAAACAGAAGTCTGAATATATTTCCTGTTCTGTCGAAAGAAAAATATTGGTGTACTTAAAGACAAGCGATTGAAAGCTAATACTTTCTCACAGGCCATTTTAATCATGATTGTAGTGGAGCACTTAAAGATGTATGTAATGGAGCCCTGGCTGTGTAGTCCAGTTGGTTAGAGCATCGACTTGAACTACCAAGGTTGTAGGTTTGATCCCCTGTCAGGAGACATACAAAAGCATCAAATGACTAAATAAATGGAACAACAAATTGATGTCTCTCTTTTTCTCTGCACCCCCCCATCTCTCTCAAGTAAATAAAAGGTTTTAAATGCATGTAATGGAATTTAAATAGATTAAAAATTACTTCAGTAATGGCATTTAATTGGTTACTTTGTAGTTGAAAATAAAGTCAGTCTTTCTGTAAAAAAAAGAAGGGAAAAGAAAGAAAAGCCCAATTTTTTTAATGAGTAAAGGATTCAAAGACAGATCTCTTCAAAGAAGATATACACTTGTCTAATAAGCACATGAGAAGATACTCAAAAAGATACATCATTAGGAGGCTTCTGGTCAAGACAGAGGCATAAGTGGATACACTTTGCGTCCTTACACAACCAAAAGAAGGACAACAAGAAATTTAGAAACGAAAGACCAGAACTGCCAGAAAATTGAACTGTATGGAAGTTTGACACCAAGGAGTTAAAGAAGAAACATTCATTCAGACTGGTGGGAGGGACAGAGATGGGCAGCTGGGGTGGAGAGGCCATACAGCAAGGCAGCAGCTGGTGGACTGGGTGGGCAAGGTGGTGGCTGGAGGACCAGGCACTCCCACATTCGTGTGTGGATAAACCAGGAAGAACAACTGGGGAGTGAGACTGTGCAACCCAGGGGTCCAGCATGAGGAAATAAATCTTCAAAACCTCTGGCTGTAAACACCTGTAGGGATTGCAGCAGTGAATGCCCAGCCTCCCAGGAGAGTTTGTTGGAGTGGCCCACAGGGTCCTAGAATGTACACAAGCTCACACACCCAGGAATCAGCACCAGAAGGGTCCAATTTGCTTGTGTGTGGGCGCCACTAGCCCCCCATGGCAAAGCCAGGGGGCCAGGACCAGTCGGCATAGCCACTGCTCAAGGAGACGCGCCGCAAGCCCCCCTTGGCAAAGCCGGGGGGCCAGGGCCAGCTGGCAAGGCCGCTGCCCGTGGCGCAGTTCCTCTCCACCTTGCTTGGCTCCCTGCCTAGAACCTGCTGTGGGTAGACAATAGGTTTCCCAAGAACTTAGCATAAGCTAGACAGCCTGTTTCCCTGTAGAAGGGTAGGTCATGCACCGGTGCTTGAAAAACAGGGAAGTTTTGATAGCACCCTGTGTTCCCCTGTTGTTCCGTGGAGTAGCTTTGCAGAAAGGACAAAGAAACTGGCTTGGGTGCGGCCCCCTCCTGCTTATTCCCCATAATTGTAATAAAAGCCTTGAATAAATGGAGTTCGGGGCTCAGCGGGATGCTGAGACCTCTCCAACCTGACTCCCTGCGTCCTTGACTCATTTCCACCTCCTCCCCTCTCCTGGCGAGGCTGGTCCGCGGCACTTGTGGAAGTGGGGGAAGTGACTGAAAGCTGACTGGGAGCTGAGCACTTGGCATTGTTCCCTATCAGGCCCCTCCCTCACATACAGTACCACAATGCAGTGATGTAGGTTGCCCTGTCCTGATGAATACCTAAAGCTCCACCCCTTAGGTAGAGCTAACAGGCATGCTGAGACCAAAAAATATGGCCCAAATGGAAGAACAGATCAAAGCTCCAAAAATAGAATTAAGCAATGAAGAGAGAGCCAACCTAACAGATGCACAGTTCAAAACACTGGTAATCAGGATGCTCACAGAAATGGTTGAGTATGGTCACAAAATAGAGGAAAAAGTGAAGGCTATGCAAAGTGAAATAAAGCAAAATATACAGGGCACCAATAGTGAAGAGAATTAATATGAACTCAAATAAATGATTTCGAGCAGAAGGAAGAAGTAAACGTTCAACCAGAACAGAATGAAGAAACAAGAATTCAAAAACAGGAAATTCCTTTCCGCCAAGATGGAGGCATAGGTGGATAAGCCGTGCCTTCTCACACAACCAAATTTAGAGACAACAATATTAGCAACAGAAAACACAGCCAGAACACAGAAAATTGAACTTTTCGGAAGTCTGTTAACAACAAATTCTTCAGCCTGACCGGTAAGGGCCAAAACCAGCAGCTGGTGGAGCGGGGTTGCACAGGAAAACTCAGTCAGACAGACTCAGGTGCGCGGAATCCAGGCGCAGGGTTGGACCTAGTGAGTGACCGAGCGAGCGATGAAGCAAGTGACCTCGGGGAAACAGCGAGGGAGCAGGGCTGCGGGTTGACTATGGTCACGCATTGGTGCACGGATAGACAAGCAAGGGAGTGGGCGATTGGACCGGGACGCAGCAGGTCCCCGCAGCCAGCGGCAGGGAGAGCGCCGCCATTTCCCTGCTCTAACCCCACCTCCACATACAGTGTCATAACCCAGCGACTCTGAGTGGCCCGGACCAGGTGAACCACCTAAGCCTCTGCTCCTCACCCAGCAGCATGAAACAGCAGAGGGTGCCGCCATTTCCCTGCTCTGACCACGCCCCCACATATAGCGTCACAACCCAGGGACCTGGTAGTCCAAGGCTCCGCTCCTCACACTTAAAGGGTGCGAACACACCAAAAATGGCTCAAGAAGATCTCAAAGCCCCAGAGCCTATAAATCTAAGTGATGAAGAAATAGCAAAACTCTCAGACGCACAGTTTAAAACATTGGTGATCAGGATCCTCACAGAACTGGTTGACTATAGCCACAAATTAGACAAATATATGAAGGCGAAACTAATTGACATGAATGGAATTGCACAGGAAACCAATAGCAATGAAAAGGAAACTGGGACTCGAATCAATGGAGTGGACCAGAAGAAAGCAAATAATGGCCAAACAGAAAAGAGTGAAGAAGCAAGAATTCAAAGAAATGAGGAGAGTCTTAGGAACCTCCAGGACATCTTTAAACGCTCCAACATCTGAATTATAGGGGTACCAGAAGGGGGAAGGGCACAGCCATTAGTGGAAAACTTATTTGAACAAATAATAAAGGAGAATGTCCCCAATCTGGCAAAGGAAATAGACTTCCAGGAAATCCAGGAAGCTCAGAGAGTACCGAAGAAGTTGGACCCAAGAAGGAACACACCAAGGCACGTCATAATTATATTAGCCAAGATTAAAATAAAGGAGAGAATCCTAGAAGCAGCAAGAGCTAAGGGGACAGTCACCTACAAAGGAGTCCCCATCAGGCTGTCAGCAGATTTCTCAAAAGAGACCTTCCAGGCAAGAAGGTGCTGGAAAGAGGTATTCCAAGTCATGAAATCCAAAGACCTACAACCAAGATTGCTCTATCCAGCAAAACTTTCATTTAGAATGGAAGGGCAGATAAAGTGCTTCTCAGATAAGATCAAATTCAAGGAGTTCATCATCACCAAACCTTTATATGAAATGTTAAAGGGACTTATCTAAAAAAAAGAAGTTAAAAAAACATGAACAGTGAAAGGACAACAAACTCACAGTTATTAACAACCACACCTAAAACAAAAGCATACTAAGAGGACAGCTAGATCAGGAGTGGAAACATAGAAATGAAGATCTCAAGGAGGGTAAGCAACAGGGGAGTGGGAGGAGGAGAAGGGGGGAGAAGGTACAGAAAATAAGTAGCATAGACAGTAGATAGAAAATAGATGGGGGGGCAAGATTAGTATGGGAAATATAGAATCTAAAGAACTTGAGACACATGGACATAAACTGAAGGGGGGGTTATGGTGGGAACGGGGGGTAGGGTGGAGGGGAATGAAGGGGGGGAATAGAACAACTGTAACAGCATAATCAATAAAAAAATTAAAAAAAAGAGAATTCAAAAACATGAGAGGCTTAGGAACCTCTGAGATAACTTTAAATGTTCCAACATCTAAATCATAGGGTGCCAGAAGGAGAAGAGGGAGAGCAAGAAAGTGAAAACTTTTTCAAATAAATTATGAAGAACTCCCCCAATATGGCAAAGGAAATAGATTTTTAGGAAGTCCAGGAAGCTCAGAGAGTCCTAAAGAAGTTGGACCAAGGCACATCATAATTACATTAGCCAAGATTTAAGATACAGAGAGAATCTTAAAAGCAGCAAGAGGAAAGAAGGCAGTCACCTACAAAAGAGTGCCCATAAGTCTTACTAGCTGATTTCTCAAAAGAAACCCTGAAGGCAAGAAGAGGCTGGAAAGAATTACTCCAAGTCATAAAAGGCAAGGACCTACATTCAAGATTACTCTATCCAGCAAAGCTATTATTTAGAATGGAAGGGCAGATAAAGTGCTTCCCAGAAAAGGTCAAGTTCAAGGAGTTCATCATCACCAAGCTCTTATTATGTGAAATGTTAAAGGGATTTATCTAAGAAAAAGATGACCAAAAATATGAACAATAAAATGACGACAAACACAATTGTCAACAACTAAACCTAACAAACAAAAACAAAAACAGCAAACAACTCGAACAGAAACAGAATCACAGAAATGGAGGACTTCTGGCCAAGATGGATGTATAGGTGGAAATACTGTACCTCCTCACATAACCAAATGTAAGGACAACAAAGATTTAGAAACAAAAACACAACCAGAACAAACAGAAAATTGAACTGTATGGAAGTTCGACAACAATGAACCATTCATCCAGACCAGTAAGAGGAGACGGCTGCCGGCAGAAAGGGGTCCTGGCAGGAAAAGGCGGTGGTTGGCAGACACGGACACGGGCACGGGGAGGAAACGAGAAAACCCAGTGAGGCGTGCAAGGCAGTTGGCAGACCACAGACACACATTTGTGTGCAGATAAACCAGGCAAAATACAGGCAGTGAGACAAACCGAGCAACCCAGGGCCCCAAAGATGGGAAATAAAGCCTAAAAGCACCGATTGAAAAAAACTTGCGAGGGTCGAGGTGCTGGGAGTGGCTCCCAGCCTCACGGGAGAGTTCATGGGAGAGACCCACAGGGTCCTAGAACGTACACAAGCCCACCCACCCAGGAATCAGCACCGGAATGGCCCAATTTGCTTGTGGTAAGTGACAGAGGGGACTGAAATCTGAGAGAGAGCAGAACAAGCACCATTATTCCCTCTCTGACCCCGCCCCCACATACAGCATCACAACCTAGCGACTGGGTTGTCCTGCCCTGGTGAACACCCGAGGCTCTGCCCCTCACTATGCAACAGGCGAGACCTGACCAAAAATGGCTCAATCAGAAGAAAAATCAAAGCCCCAGAGCCAGTACTTTTAAGCAAGCAAGAGATAGCCAACCTATCAGATGCACCGTTCAAAACACTGGTGATCAGGATGCTCACAGAACTGGTTAATTTTGGTTGCAAATTAGATGAAAAAATGAAGGCTACACTAAGTGAAATGAAGGAAAATGCACAGGGAACCAATAGTGATGGAAAGAAAACTGGAACTAAAATCAATGGAGTGGACCAGAAGGAAGAAAGAAATAACCAAACAGAAAAGAATGAGGAAACAAGAATTCCAAAATATGAGGAGAGGCTTAGGAACCTTCAGGACATCTTTAAACGTTCCAACATCCAAATTATAGGGGTACCAGAAGGGGAAGAGGAAGAGCAACAAGTGGAAAACATATTTGAACCAATAACAAAGGAGAATTTCCCCAATCTGGCAAAGGAAATAGACTTCCATGAAGTCCAGGAAGCTCAGAGAGGCCCAAAGAAGTTGGACCCAAGAAGGAACACACCAAGGCACATCATAATTATATTACTCAAGATTAAAATGAAGGAGAGAATCCTAGAAGCAGCAAGAGCTAAGGGGACAGTCACCTACAAAGGAGTCCCCATCAGACTGTCAGCAGATTTCCCAAAAGAGACTTTACAGGCAAGAAGGGGCTGGAAAGAAGTATTCCAAGTCATGAAAGAAAAGGACTTACATCCAAGATTGCTCTATCCAACAAAGCTTTCATTTAGAATGGAAGGGCAGATAAAGCACTTCTCAGATAAAGTAAGTTCAAAGAGTTTATCATCACCAAGCCCTTATTATATGAAATGTTAAGGAGACTTATCTAAGAAAAAGAAGAGAAAAACATGTGAACAGTGAAAGGACAGCAAAGTCACAGTTATCAACAACCATACCTAAAACAAAAGCAAACTAAGCAAACACCTAGAACAGGAACAGAATCACAGAAATGGAGATCACATGGAGGGTTAACAACAGGGGAGTGGGAGGAGGAGAAGGGGGAGAAGGTACAGAGAATAAGTAGCATAGACAGAGGGGGAGAAAATAGACAGGGGGAGGGCAAGAATAGTATGGGAAATGTAGAAGCTAAATTTATGACACGTGGATATAAACTAAAGAGGGGGAATGTGCGGGGAGGGGTGTGCAGGGTGGAGGGGAAGGAAGGGGGGAAATGGGACAGCTGTAATGGCATAATCAGTAAAATATATTAAAAAAAGAATCACAGAAATGGAGATCAGGTGGAGGGTTATCAGGGGAGGGGGGAGGGAGAACAGGGGAAAAAAGGTACAGGGAATAAGAAGCATTAAGTGGTAGGTACAAAATAGACAGGGGAAGGTTAAGAACAGTATGGGAAATGGAGAAGCCAAAGAACTTATATGTACACCCTTGGGCATGAAGTAATGGGGGGGGGTGCTGGTGGGAGGAGGTTGCAGGGTACAGGGGGTAAAAGGGAGAAAAAAATGGGATAACTATAATAGCATAATCAATAAAATATACTTTAAAAAGATAGTGAGGAGAGAATGAAAAGCATTATAGGAGCAAGTACATTTTGGAGATTAAAAAAAAAGAGAAATAAAGTCCTGAGTAAACCCTGCCTACATTGGGTTGCCATAAAAACAAATTTTGTTGCACTGGAGACTTGCCAGTTAGCAGCCCGGGAGCTCCCTGGATCTGGAACCTGGACAGCCAACCGCTGCAACAGGATGGGGGCAAAAGGAGGAGTCATGGGAAGCGGCTCCCGAACTGGGAAGCCGTGGAACCGTCGGAGGCCTCAAATCCCGGCTGGCCCCGCCACCCCTGTCCGGGAGATGGAAATACAGCTGCAACCGTGTCCACAGCTCATAGCGCTGGGACCCGGCCGGACGCGCCACCCCAACTCCACTCCTTGGCAATGGCTAACGAACTCTATCAGGGCAAACCTTGGCACCCGGAGCAGATTAGCCTGGACCCCAACGCCGACTCCGAAGGTCTGTGTGACAAGCCTCCCGAGGAGGAACGCCCGGCTGCCCGCAAACCCAAATCAGCATTGGCCGCGGGCGAGAAAGCTGGTCGGCGAGTCGGAGCAAGGATCCGTGCCCAGCACCCCGCAAGGGCCTCTGCGCGCCTCCTTAACAAGGAGGAGGCGTCTCCACTGGACAAGGGCTGCTGTCTCAGCCATTTCCCGCATCTCTGCATCTTTACGTGGCCATCGCCTTCTCCATCACCTCTTGCCTTTTGACCTTTAGCCATTTACAGCTTGCCTGAGTGGCTAAGGCCGAGACGGGGGAGTGCAGGCAGAGAATGGAAAAGAAGGGCTCTGTGCTTTTTGTTTGGGAGGCGCTTTGCACTCACTTTAGCTTTTGATACTTGTTTCTTCTCTGCCTGTCATTCACTACTTTTGTGCATCAGTAGGAACGACCAAAGCTACTGTAAGTAATGAAATAAGGGTCTCTATATTTGCACCTTAAGGTTAGGGGAGAGGGCAGTCAGGCCCCAACGTTTAGAGTTTTGGGGTGCAGTTGAACCCCATTTATAATTAGGATAATGTCCCAGACCCTACCACTCTGTAGGGTAGGTGCAAGTACAGGGGATGCATCATTTTGTTTTTAAAGGACTCACAGCTCACAAACTCTTCTTCTTTTTAATTTCATTTATTTATTTCAGAGGGGGGGAGGGAGGGAGAAAGAGAGGGAAAGAAACATTAGTGTGCAGTTGCCACTCGGACCCCACACCTGGGACCTGGTCTGCAACCTGGACATGTGCCCTAGACCAGGCATCAAACCGGTAACCCCTTGATTCTCAGGCCCCCATTCAATGCACTGAGCCACACCAGCCAGGGCCCAAAAACTGTTCTTTAAGGAACTGTGGCCCGTGGGTTTTCAGAGAGGGTCTGCGACAGGGTCAATGCCCTGACTGGCCTGGGCTAGAACCCGGTGAAGCTGCCTCACCCCAGGAGGAGCCCACCCTGTCCCCCAGCTGGCACAGACAGATCTCCTAGTGCAAGAGCTAGAGTTCAGTGCTTTGCTTTGCTTTTCCTTTTTTTGACTTTTCTTAAATAACAGAAAAGACATTGGAACTAGTGTAAGCAAAAAAGGGGACAATTGAAAGGAAGCAGAATGTCCACGGAACTCAAGAGCACAAATGAGTTGTGACTTTGGCAACTCAGTGGAAGTAGCAATTGAAAGACGGGGCATTCCAGGTGCCCATGGTCTGCATCCTTCATCCCTGCTTCTCTTCACCCATTGGTTTCCTTCATGTTCTTTCCTGTTGAAAGCTGGCTGGCTGTCTCTGTTATTCCCAGAAACTGGCCCCTGCTAACCTCTCCGTGGTTAGGGGAAAAGGGTCAGCTGTGTAAACATGGCTATTCCTGCTACCACTTAGTCTGTGTGGGGAGTGGGGGGTGTCCTGGAAAAGGAAGGAGGGCTGGGCTGGCTGCTCAGGAGGTGTCGCTACACTCCTGGCTGCCTGTGTCACACACACACACACACACACACACACACACACACACACACACCCCATCACCACACACACCACCCTCAGAGCCAGGCTTTCCCTCAGCCACTGCATTTCAGGGATGCCTGGGCCTGCACAGCCCACTTTGGTCGTGCAGAACAACAAAGAGTCTAGGTCTCTGCTGAAGGGACCCAGTCCCCAGACACTCCTGCTCCTCCCAGCAGAGGCAAGGGGGGCGGTTCCTCTGAAGGGAGTGGAGAGTCCCACTGTCAGCTGCCCTGGGGAGGGGCTAATAGGGGGCAGGAGGACGTGGGTCCCACCCCGTGGGATGCATGGGCCTGGTCCTGACACTGCTGTCATTTCTGTCAGGCTCTGGTGTAAAGTGTTGGCACAGATGCTCACCAGGGGGCAGAACACAGCTCCTGAAAACAGCAACTGGCTGCATCCCACCAGCAAGAGACAATTAGACCTTCTTGGAGTTCAGCAGGTGCCACAGGGCATGTAATGAAATAATGACTCAGGCCCACACAGAGGACTGGAAGCCCATGGTTCAGGCAGTTGTAGTGGGTCTGATAGTACGAAATAACGACCTGGTTTCAGATTCCTTTTCTGGGCCCCTAGAGAGCAGGGACACAGCAGCCCCAGCAGGCTCCCTGGTAGATTTGCATTTATTTCCCTCTTTGCAGTGACAGAGAGTCCTTTTCCTCACAGAGGCCTGGGGGGTGGGCAGGAGGGCAGGCTCTGGGGTCAGCTGCCAGAGGGTGAATCCCAAGTCCACCACTTAGTTCCTCTGAGAATTTGGGGACAACACTCACCATCTCTCTGCCTCCATTTATCTGTGACATGAGGATGATAGTGGCACCTGTCGTCATAGGGTTTGTGATGGTAAGTTTATGTCAGCTGGACTGGGCCACAGGGCCCGGATAGTGGGTCAAACATCATTCTGGGTGTTTCTGTGAGGGTGTTCTTACATGAAATGAACGTTTAAATGTGTAATGTTGACTTTAGCAGCATTGGAGTCAGTAGCTCAGACTGCCCTCCACAGTGTGGCCAGCCTCCTGCAGTCATCTGAAGGCTGGAATAGAAGGAAAGACTGACCTTCCCTGAGCTCCAGGGCATCCCTCCAGCAAACAGCCGCGGCAGCTCTGCCCTGGTCTCCCGTCTGCAAGCCCACCCTGCACATGTTGGACCTGCCAGCCTTCCTAATCGTGTGAGCCAGCGCCTTAAACTAAATCTCCCTCTATGGATACGCACATTCTCTTGGCTGTGTTTCTCTGGAAAACCCTGGCTAATCCAAACTTCTCATTAAGATTAAATAGTGTATACATATAATCCTTACAGAATAAGATAGGGATGGGTGGCCTCACTAGCAGACTGTAACCTCAGTGTTTGCACCTGTCCAGGTTCAGCTTCTCAGGTGCCTATGTTCTCTCACTCTTTGAACACATCCTGGGGCTGCAGAAAATGTCCCCATACCCTCAGCAACAACTAAGGGCAACGACTAAGGGTTTTCTCCAAAGGTCAGGCACTTCTTATGTCATTATAAAGGGATGTGACCTGGCCAAGGTAGCTCTGTTCCACATGACTTTGTGTGGTTTCTTGACTTTGTGTGGAAAGAATTCCAGACAGGAGTCCAGGTGATTTTGAGAGTATCTTTAGTAAAACTTTGGGACAGTGAACCAAAGGAAGAGCTTAACAGAAGAAGCTAGAACACAGTAACAGCAGTGAGCCTGGTCTGGGCTGCCTACACTCAGGAAAGGAAGTCCCAATAATAGTGTGGAGCCGGGGTAGGGTCACTTTTGGCTCACAGAAAAGTTAGGCATGAGGAAGACCCTCGGAACTTAGGAGAAAGAATGCGAACTTACATGCCTGAGAAAAGCGGAGGAAAAGACTACACACTGGGTTTTTTTTTCTTGAGGGTTTTTATCTGTTTTCTGCAGGAGGGAGTTTTAGGGGAGGTCTTGTCAAAACACTCATCAGCTTTCCAGATGTGTACCATAATATGCTCATGCATCAAAGTGAGGTATAGTGGGGTGTGGGGTCATTCTCTGCTCGGCTTCCCCTTTATCTTGTATTTGTCGGGATCTGACTGGTTTTATGTTTTTTCTTCCTCTGACTTTATTCATTTTGAGGTTTGGCTGGCACTAAACAACAGAAAGAGCACAAACTGAGGTAAGGTAACTGCTGTCTGGCTGGGGAGGGGAGATGTGAACCATCTGCTCCTAAGTGGCTTTGGTTAGGGAGGGTAGAGACCAGGGATTTCTTATCTGGCTTTAATGCTCAGCTGTTCATTTAACGGTTTTCTCTCTGTTTCTCTCATTTCACTGTCAAGGAATTTTCCTAGCTTCCCACTGACCTGCCTCACTTAGAGGTGGCGTGGCAGGGAGGGGAGGCTGACCCCAGACACCCTGCCTGCCATGACCCTGTGAACCTGTGGCCCCAACGACCATCATAGCCCCCGCTGGGAGTTAAAACTTGGAGGACGGTGTCTAGGACAGGCCCCGAGCAACCAAGCCGCACAGTTACCTTCCTGTGGAGAAGAGCAGAGCTTCCTCTAGGAGGATCTGGACTTGACCTTGAGAATGAAGTAAACTAGAACCCATAAATGGGCTCTGTCCTTTCAATGTGATGCCCAGTGCAAGGCAAGAGGAACAAATAGGTTTGTCTTGAGAATGTTCTTCCATGCTTCTCACGGACTTACAGGAGGGCTCTGGCTGTCTGGTGAAGAAACAAGCTGTGACATACTGGCATATCTTTTGTCTCTTAGTAACACTGGAGCTGAGGACTGCAGATTCAGAATACAGTCATGTACCTGCCACATGCAGCAGAAAACCGCCCATGGGGCAGCTGGTCTAGATTATATTCAAAGAGCAAGGTCATTGTGCTTATTCCTTGTCCTTGGAGGAGTAGCACCAGAGCCCTGGGTGCAGAGTCCTGACAGTATTTTCACTTCTGCACAGGCCTATCCCACCTGGGACCAGAAAGCAGCCACAGCTCCCTGAATCTCAGGAAAAGAACATTCTCTTTAAGTACAGGTGTCCTGCACCCACCCAGTGAGCAGTGGATTATGCCTATTGCTTACTATGTACTCTCCTGGAGGTGAACACTGATCCAAGCTCATACATGTATCTCATTTCACCCTCATAACAAGCATCATAGTCAGAAAGGTCAAAGAAGAGACACCTTAGGCTATGTGATGGAGGGTACAGAAAGTGGGTGAGGCCCAGGTAGATGGCAGGAGAAGTGACTGAGGAAAGAGGGGGGACAAAGTCGGAAGGGAGACAAAGTTGGATGATCAAATTGGGCTCTTGTGTACTGTGATGGGGTAAACTGAGTGGAGCTTTGCTTTTACCAGTTGAGAACAACATTGGTACAAATGACTCAACACCAATGGATTTAATTCTAAGATTACTGATTCACTGGGGACAAAGGGGTAGACTACTAATGGGGGAAATATTACTCAGATGCGTCTTTGAATTTCAAAGACAGTCAGAGGCCAGGAAGGGAATTAAAGGATATATTTGGGGAATGTCCCTTTATAATTTACCTATTCATAAACCCTCACTTAACACCCACTGTGTGCCAGGGACTGCCCTGGGCACTGGCAATAACCTGCTTAGACATGGTTCCTGTCCTCAGGATGCTTGCCATCTAGGGTGGAGAGACCAGGAGAAAAGCCGTCGGAACAATGCCACATGCTGAGTGTTCTGATGGGGTGGGGGACACAGGGTGCTCCAGGAGCACCGGGCAGAGGTGCCTAGGCCAGCTGCAAGGTGCACAGCAGAA